TATATATTATTACTATGTATTAGGGATGCACCGATACCACTTTTTTTAAGACCGAGTACGAGTACCGATACTTTTGATCATGTACTCGCCGATACCAATCACCGATACTTTTTCTTCCACCCGTCCCTACCGTCTCGAAGGCCGAAGCCGGCCATACACGCGGCACCTCAACCTCAAAGTTTCACTTCAATTTATTAACCGGAGCTTCCCAGCTGTCACCTTTTGATCAAGTAGTCGCCGATACCAATCACCGATACTTTTTCTTAAAGGGACGGGTCACATTCTTTTTCTAAAGCAATACAAACCTATGCTTTAAGGTCGCTTTCTTAACATTACGATTCATGAGATGACGAGTGAGCATGACGCCGGCTTCCCAGCCAACCAGAAAGTCGGGCGCTGCGTCTTTACACGGCGCCCGGATTTGCTAGATTCCTGACCAATCGGGAAGCCGGGCAGCGCGTCATCGCACGCTACCCGGCTTCCTGATTGGCCGGGAAGTCGGCTCCATGCTCTCTCATCACAAGTGACGAGAGAGCATGGAGCCGTTTCCCGGCCAACCAGGAAACCGGGCAGCGTGTAATGACGGTGCTGCCCGGCTTCCTGATACAGGAAGTACTCGTGCTAGGCATCGGAGCATTTGGGCGAGTACGAGTACTCACCCAAATACTCGGTATCGGCACCGTTACCGATACTAGTATCGGTGCATCCCTACTATGTATAATATGAATTTAGATAATATATACCGTATTTTGCGCTCTATAAAGGCGGAGCGGGGGACCCCGAAAAACAGGGCCTCCTTTTGGAGGGAAAAAAAAGTGCGTCTTATGGAGCGATAAAAATACGGTATATACATACACACACACCATCCTAGCCCCACCCCACATAAAATATTATAATTCCAAGCCCCCCCTCCCACAACATATAACATAATTCACAGTCTTCCGCCTTCACAGTCTCCCTCATATAAAATAGTATAATTGCCAGTCCCCGTCCCCCCTCCCCCTATATAAAATTATTCCCAGTCCCCCCGCATGTAAAATAAAATACAAAGCCCCCTCTCCTGCTTACCTTGTTTTGTTGCAGGGAGGAGGCTGTGAGCCACGATCATCGATCCTTGGTGATCTAGTGGCAATTAGTAAGATCTGCTGCAGACCTTACTAATCAATCCTTTCGGCCAGCGTTCAGCGAAGAGGCTGGCTGAAAGGATCCGAGCCGCCACAGAAGCAGCTATGCGGTCCGCAAGTCTGGTGCGCGGTCCGTGACCGCGTTCCAGACTTGTGAGCTGGCTGCTGGCCGCATAGTACCGACTCGCAGGCCGCAATTGGCCCACGGGCTGGTACTTTGAGACCACTGCCTTAGGGTATGGTGGAAGTGTGGAATACATGTGGTCATCCTTGTTTACCATTTGCAAATGTTCATTGAGTAATTTACCCAAGGCAATGCTGCTCTAGTATTTTGTCCAAAACAGTGGTCACTTTTCCTTTTTTACCTTCATGACGAATTTCTGGTGTCCAGATAATTATGGCACATAAATCATAAAGGGATCTCAAGTCTCCCTGATGTTCAGGGAGTCTCCATCTTTTGGACAGCAGCTCCCTGATGTCTGCGAGAGAGGCATTTTCTTCCTGAAAGGTTTACTCGGAGTAAACCTTTCTGGTAAGATATCAGTGGGTAAAGTTTCAGAGTGAGGCTTGCCTCCTGGAGGAAGGTCATGTGATCTCTAGAGTAGCCTCAGAACGAGGTTTGTCTCTCAGAAGGAAGAAGCTACTTGCTGCACAGAGAGGGCGGACATAGACTACTATTGAGAGCAGGTACAGGCACTGAGATCTACTGCTGCAGGGTTGAGAGAGTGCTGTTAACCCTTTGTGGATAATATATTAATTATATGTCATGGTTGTCTAGTTATAGAGAACATTTATTTCATTTGCTGCCCATAGCAACTAGTCAACTGTGTATCAGGGACTTTACTCCTCAGCGCTTTTTAAAAAGGCCTTGGGCTGTCTAATAAATTGTAACCTTTACACTGACAGATACTTGATCAATTCACAAATCTGATATATATATAAATAAATATATAATATTATTGTATTATTGCTATATGGATTTTATTTTACTCTGTGTGT